GGCCAGCTCACTCTTTACAACAGGAAGCCCAGATGGCAACCCTGAAAAGCGTCTTTACATGAAAAAAAAAGTACTTTGTAAATCAGACACATTTTACACTAAGGATTGCATGTGTGTGTTGAGGGAGGTCAGAGGCTGAAACAATAGCACTGTTTATGTAGACAGTGAGAGCACAGAGAAGATGTGTTCATGCATACACTTTGCACAATAGCATAATTGTGCACAGTGACATCAGTCAAGGAGAGACTAAACACACACACACAAAACTGTGCATACATCCATCTATCACACTACAGAACTCCTTCCCAGGTCACACACTGCCAACACGCATGTATACTGAGGTGGAACATACACATGGACTCAACAAGCATGGAGTACATGCGAAATGGTGACCGTTCATGTAGTGTGTGCGCACACACACACACACACACACACACACACTGATAGTGCTCAGAAATACAAATATAAGTGGATTACAATGACCCCCTCCCTTTCTCTCTCAGTCCTCTGCAGTTTCTCCCAAGTACACAATGACAATGGAGCGTGCGAGCCTGCTGTCATACAGAGCAACAGCCAAGCTCAGAAAATCTGGCTTGTTTTGCTTTGTCAGAGACCTTCACAGTGTCCTTCCATTTTAGTGTGTGTGTGTGTGTGTGTGTGTGTGTGTGGAGAGACAAAAATCCCACTCTAATGCCACCACTCTTCTGTAGTCCTGCATGACTCACATCTTTTAGTGTTGGCTGACCACAGCAGCACAGCTGATTAGCCCTTTGTCGTGCTGAAACCTCTCTGAAGCACCTCTTCTTTTGTGCTATCTTCCCTGAGAGGATGATCCTGAACAAGATTTTTTTTTTCCCTTAAATGCAATTATTTCTTTATTAACAGGTCTACATTTTTTTTTGTGCACCAAAAGTGTAGTGGCCTTTTAAAAAGGTGAGATGGGATATGCAGTTTTTAGCCACGCTAGCAGCTTGGTTCCATGGTTGGTAATGTCGGCCTTTCAGACGGTCAATCTGCCACTTTGGTCCAAACTCAACAATATGTCACCATCTTTTATAGTGGTTTTCACTATTTTTCCATAGGAGCCACTCTGGCAGGACACAGTCAATAGGAGAGTAAATTTTAGTGCCACTCTTCACTCTGAAAACCACTCAGATTTGGGTGTGTGTCACTTCAAGTTACTTTGCTTGAAATCAGAGCAAGTTTGGTAGTATATTTAACGTAAGGAGTGGACAAATAAGAAATCACCTCTCCATTTTCCTTGAAAGTTCCTCTGCTCTTGTGTGGTTTGTAGCTGTGTAATGCTGTAATCCCTTCTGCAGCATCTTCTCTGGATCTTAAATCTCCTCATTTGCCACACTACCTTGCTTGTCACCCTCTGGTTTGTGACTTTGTTTGGTAAGAAATCAATAAATTGTTATTGTTCACATGTTAGCTAGCATGAGATTCTGCAATAGGCACACTGGTAATGTTACTACACGAGTGAGCAGTGTTGACAGATTTGTGACAGTTTCCAATAATTCAGAAGCAAGATTAAGGAATTTAGTAAAAGCTCAAATATACATGAAAGAGGTTACATGCTTATAGTTCAAGAGACTGTATATGTAATGACACAAAACTTTGTACAGATATTCATGGTTCCCAGATGATGTAACCTATTGACTCTTTGGGATCCCTTGACTTTTCCTTTACTGCCTCCATGAGGTTGTCATTTGTTGTGAGTGAAATGTCTCAACAGCTACGTATTGTACAGCCATTAAATTTGTTACATACTCTCGGGATGATTTGTAATGAAGTAGTTGATCTCATCACCAGTTCAAAAATTTAATCTTTCCAGAATTTTGGTTTATAGCTGAACACGTTGAAACCTTATCACATTACCATCAGCCTCTCTCTTCATTATTGCTTATTAGCAAATCTTAACATGCTAAACTAAGATGTTGAACATGATGAACATTATACCTACTAAAGATCAGTTTTTATGGCCATTGCTGGAATGTTAGCATTGTGATGCTAGTATTTAGATCCAAGTGCACCCTCAAAGAGCCTCTAGCATAACTGTAGACGCTTACCTTTGGTCTCTCACTTTTTTGTGGCATCTCATGTTTGAGTCTTGTTTGCTTCATAAATAAAGTGACCAGTTTGAGGTTGTTATTTATATTTTTTTTAAGTTAAGATGTAAGGTGATAAAATGTTCTGCTCAGATTTGACTTTGCTGGGAGCCATACATAGCCTGGCGGTAACAGCTGCCAAGTTCATCTGGCCTCAGCTTATGTAGTTCAGTGCAATCATTGGTAAAATCTACAAGCATTCCTCTAGTTTGTTGTGAGGCACAAAATTGCAAGCTCTCACGAGCCGTACTGGGATTGGTTGAATTCACATTCAATACTGCAAATCTTTATCACAAATTTCTGCAGGGATTGTGACTGTGTATAGTCCTATGGTACGTTACTGAGCAAAAGACGATGACTGTGGCAGCTCAGCAAAAAAGTCACCCTGTCAGCAATCATTCAAGCAGAGCAGATCTGGCCAAATGAAAATCTGATGTAGAGATTTGCACATTTTTCTGAAATCCAAAAAGCAGCAGTGAGCGAGCGATTCTGTCCAGAGAGAGCCGATCTCAGCAACATTGTATTGTTTCTCTCTTGTGTGCCTTTGGTGTAAAGCATCACAGACTGCCTAGTGTGGTGAACATGTGCCTCATGTTCACACCTTTACTGTCCACTCATTGAAGGGTTTCTGGGAGTTCAGATTGAAGGTGAAATAAAGTTATAAATCTTGTCAGTAATAAAGCTCACCTCAGTCTCACTGCTGGGATTGAGGTAAATATGTGATTGACAGGACAGATGCATGTCTGCCTGAGGCTCAACCTCCCGTCAGATGACTTTTTGAGAAAAGGCACACTGAAGTTGTCAGTGCAGCAAATTCAAATGCAGAGGTATTACCTTTGTCAGATTAGCTTGAGTAAGCAACTACTGTAATTTGGAAGATCTGTTCTATCATTATTTCATAACATTAAAAGGATGTTACTTCCAATCTGTCCTCTGACCAGACCCTTTTGCAAATGTGATTTGGTCTCATTGGCTTGTTAATGGCTCTTTTGATTGGGCTGGTTTCTGTGCATGAATGTGGTCCTTGTCTCTTCCCCATGCAGTGTTTTCCCTGTTCAGACTGTTATTATGCTCCTCTCCTCTCCTCTGCTACAGGCTATGTTTCTGCTCTCCTTGTTTTGTTGTGTACGTCTGCGTCATATGCTTCACATTATACAGGCTAGTGAATATCTCTCTCGGCCTTGATGGTTGATTACAGCTGAAATCAATTCTGCACTGCATTATATTGAAGTTTTCTAACACAACAACAGTGTGATGTGGTATGTGTTGATCTGTTTACTGTATTATTCTTACCGCTATTGTGTGTGTGTGTGTGTGTGTGTGTGTGTGTGTCTGTGTTTGTGTCTGTGTCCAGCTGCTATACATGCACATGCTATGTGTATGCAGCACAACATCCAAGCTCTGTGAAGTTTGTTTGGTATGAGTGAAATCTGCCCCCTCACATTCAGCTATCTATTTTTTTGTATGTATGTAAAGATGAAAATGACGTGAGTAAGCAAAGCACGGGGCTTCGATGTGCTGTCTCACATTTGCAAGTTGAATGTTGCATCAAAGACACAAATGCCTTTACTCCCTTAATCACTGGAAGTAACAAATGTAACCTGGAACACACACACACAACTTTGTTTTTTTTTTTTGTTTTTTTTTTTTTGTTTTTTTTTAATATAATTTATAAAACTCCAGCCAAACAAGAATCTGTTCGCAGTGCCTTCGGCCCAAAGAGTAAGGTCAATTTTCCACTGGCTGAAAAAGCATTTTCACTGCTGTAATATCACACCTTGGTTTCTATGGGAAGGAAAAGCTGCCCTAACCCTTCTGTTCCTCTGTTCCTCTTTATAAGCTGTGTGACACCTGCCTTATCAATCTGAACTCACTCAACGATTAATCTGAGTTATTTAATTAGGCTGATCTTAATAAAGTCTACAGCTGTTTGCAGTAATTTTGTAGCACCACGTCTGAATGCACATTAACCGCATAGGTGTGTGACCAAGGCTCAGTCCTTTTGAGAGGACTGCAGTCAGTGTGACTTGAATAATGGTGTATCAGGTCATCAGCGATAGCTACTCAGGTTGGGTCGCTCGCTCCTCTTTACGATGGTGGAAATAATGCAACACAGAGGTTATGGGTATCCCTGTAGGTCAGTGTCACATCAGCAGCATTGTTTCAGTGTGAGGCATCACTGGGCAGATGATGATGAGACCATCGTCTTAGTGGGCACAAAAACAGCTCCCTGACAGCAGAGTGTGTCTGCAGTGACGAGCCACGATGCTCTCAGACAGAATGATGTCATTACAGTGACTAAGGGCCACTCCTTCAACGCAGTTATTTGAGCCAGGGTGCGGAGCGGCATTATTGGCATCTTTAATATGGGTTGGAGCAGTATGACTGTGTCTTCAGCCCATTTAGCCAAGCATGACATCTTATGTTGTTGCTCCACCTAATATTTAAGGAGTTTTGTACATGGGCAGGAAGATGAAGTCTCCTTCATTCGTTCATCAGTTTGGTTGCTTTACACTCGGCCCCCAGTTTACAAGGTGTACCTAGATTTTGCTGTCGTTTAATGCTGATAGTCTAATATAGAAGCCCTGCAGTAAGTCCTGCGTACATGAAGACTGTAATGTGTAGTGTTTATTGTTTTTGTTTAAACTGTTTGAAGAAAGTGTCATTTCAACCTTCAGCCTTTGGAAGCTGCTGCAGGTGAAATGTATAAGTTATACTGAGAGATGTTAAAAAAAGGCTAGACATATGACACTGTGTAACCAGAAGTTTTGTGCAATTCGAGGACGTATATGTCACATCAGTTGTGGTGATGACATGTTCACTACTGCATTGATCATTTTTCTTTAATTATCTGTTCTCAGTCGCATTCCTTTTCTGCATCCATGATAGGTTTGCAGACCTCTGATCGTATTGGCTCCACGGCCAGCCAGGTGGCCAATCAGGCGACAGCAAGGCTCACTGATCACGGAGACCACCCAGTGAGACTGGGAGACCCTCTTACCGCACCCGCACTGCTTCACCCATCCCACTCCATCGTCACCGCCATGTCTATACCCAGCGGCAGCCCAGAAAGAGAGGGATCTGGTGGGGCTCTCCCTCAGCTAGAGTGCCCCTCCTCCCCAACCGGCATGGACCCAGACCCCCCGTCGACAGGCAGCCCGGTGCTCAGCCCAGACTCATCTTCCCATGATGCAGTGCTGTCAGCACCAGCAGCCTCTCCAGCAGACTCAGAGAACCTGAGTCCTGATGAACTGGAGCTGCTGGCTAAACTGGAGGAGCAGAACAGGTGAGACCAGCAGCCGCTCTTATTTTGTGTATCTATTGGAGTGAAAACAAAACAGTTTTTACAGTTTCAATATGACTGAGTGGGGCCCAGAGTTCACTTGTACAGTAGCAGGTTCAGTTGGTTGACCTTCACTAAGCTACATTTATTGCACAGTCCAGGGTAGTAGTAATTATATAGTATATATAGTAGTTGCAGTAATTATCAAACAATAAGTCTTTGGATTCAGGTTTTAGGAGGTGGACCAAGCAATATATTGTGTAGGCGAGATTGGCCAGAGTTGCAGGAGCATAAATTTCCCTAAGCAGGGCAGAGCCATTACTGTAACTCTCTGTCCAACTCCAAACTCTGATGTACAAGCATCTTTGCACATACATGTTGTAAAGCTGACTTTCTAACAAAAGGTAATGTGTCACCTCAGGGCAGGTGTAGCCTGTACAGTAGGGTGAATAAAGCACCAAAACCTAAAATAAGAGATTCATTTGGAAACCAAAGAACCCGACGATGAACAAGAAAAGTCCATGAGCTGTAGACACTTGATGTTTGAAGTAAAATCTCCTGATCAAACAAGAACACAAACTCAGGAATGTAGATGAAAGAACGGACAAATAGGTCAAGTTAAAAGTGAACTTAAAGTTTGACTTCAGCTGCAGAAGCTAAAGTGCAGAAAATAATGAGGGTTGAAGGTAGCGTTAAAACAGCAACTAATTAATGAGATGGTCTAATGTGGGAGATAATTAGAACTTCATGATCGCAGATAAAAAATAAAAAAAAACATCTCTGGGGGCCATTTTAAAACTGACAGTAGTGCCACAGGTTATCAGAGTTTCATCCTCAAAGTTTCATCCAGGAAATATCAAAGTGTGTGATCACATACAGAGAACATTTAATACTGTGTCATAGCAATCACTGATATTACTGTTCTCAATTAATTACCTTGATGAAAATGAAGAGAATATTGCTGAGCATCCTGAAGTGTGTCGAGCTGAAGAAAAAAGTGTCCTTCACAGGCTTCACAACAGCTTTTAAATGAATCTTTCCCGGATTTTCAAGAGCACATGTGCATAACCAGAAATCAGTGTGTGAGGCTTAAAGTGACACTTGAACCCATGATTGTCTGATTTAAAAAAAACAAAACAAACAGTAAGCATACAGATGGATAGCAGAGACATTAACAATGCAATTGGTAATTTAAAAAGTTTCTGAGGATATTTTGATAAATTTTTGCCATCTTACCATCCAAAAATCCAAGCAGGCTGCAGCTGCTATGCTCCATAAACAATGAAACAAAATGTTTTACACAGGAGGTGAGTTGATGCTCAAAATTGACTTTACATCTAGTATCACTTTATCATCACAAGCCAATGTCATTTTGACCCAGAATCACAAATCTGCATGGCCTATATTTGCAAGAAATACACTAGGTAACAAAAAATGGGTATGTAGGTTAGTGTTTTAGAAACCTGTGAATAGGTGATGTTTATAAATGCGTACAAAACTGTTACAAAACTGGGGCTGGGCACTATGTCAGTTTCTATCTTTTTAAAACTTAGAGCCTGAGATGCAGAACAAGAACAGAAGGACTAGAATGAGGTCAACGATTAACACAGACACAGGTGAATTGTATATATTACATGGGCATGGCTACTTGGCTGAGTGGAGTCATGTGACCAGTGCCATAAAGGCCAGAAAAGCTACGCTGGTTAAAATGGAAACGCTCTGTCAAAATTTTATAATTCTCAATGATTTATAGTTTGACATCTGGGTCTGGATAGGACATGGTCTGACTCTGGATCTGGACTACGGTCCAACTATTAGTGACCTCTGCATTAGAGTAAAACACCTCCTCTCACGTAGAGCATGTATCATGGATGCGGCTGTGTGTTCTTTCAGGAAGCTCATCCATTTCATCGGGGATTATATCTGAAAATGTAATCACCTGGTTTCACAGTCATGTTTTAGACTTTTCTTTCAAGGGTAAAGTTTAATTCCACACAGCTAAGAGCACCAGATTCTCCATGGGAAACCCCAGCAGGGGCACAGTAGTAAAATTCAAGGTGACACAGAGACGGAGCGTGTTCATCCAGCCATCACATGTTTCAGCAGAGGGGTCAAACTGCAGGACGTAGGAGTCAAGTGACTTAAAGGAATCAGACATTTGGGGTCAAAGTGGAACTGAACTTGCCACCCTCGGGGGTAAAGAGCTTTCTCTTTAATCACATCATCTCTGCTTCCTGCCGTCATTTTGTCTCAGACTCAAAAGGATAAGAAGGATTAAAAAAACAACATTTAAAGGAATAGTTCTGGGAAATGTGTTTATTTTGCTTCTTTCTGAGTATTAGGTAAGAAGATGGATATCATATTAGCTTATCTTAGCATAGTAAATGGAAACAGGGGAAAACAGCTAGCCGTCCTTTAAAATTCACAAATTAACATGTTATACCTTGTTGGTTTAATCCTAACATAAACTGTGGTGTAAAAATGATAACTTGTCGTTTCACAGGATTAAAAATGGTGTAGTGGGAATGTGTCCCATACTGGCAAATCTCAGCTGACCGACAGATGCTCTACCCACCTCCTTTACAAAAAACAGACTTATTGTACTGTATGTTGAACAAAGTATAAGGCTACTGCTTGAAAGACAGTATTTTAACATTTAACATTTCTACTGTGATTATACCAAAAACACAGACTGTATTTACAGAACCTTTTTGCAGTGCTTGTTTTGTTTATATTGTTTATGTTGGCTCAACATCCAATTCTGGGATTTCTGCGCCAATAAAAGTAACATATTAATTTAAAAGGCTGAGATAGGTCGGTAGCTTGTAATAGATGAAGTGGGGTGTCTGTTTGCGTTAACTGGCCCTCCATAAACAATAAAAAAAACTCTCATTAGTCTGACCCCTATATACAGCAGTGTGTGTAACGTCCTCGTGGTTCAGCCTCTCATTCTGTAGTTTCAGATAAGGTGCCCGGAGGCTGCTGGTCTCTCAGGGAGGCCAGTCGGTCCGCCATGACTCTTAATGCTCGTCTTAGCTTCCCTGTCACTCTCCAGTGTGTTTACTTTCTTGTATGAGACAAACACGCTGTTCAGTGTGGTCACGCGCCTTTTCCTATCAGAAATAATCGATTGTAATTTGATCGTCTTAATCTTATGAACTGTCTCTTCATGCAGGTTGCTGGAGGCCGATTCCAAGTCCATGCGGTCGATGAGCGGCTCACGGCGCAACAGTGGCTCCTCACTGGTGTCCAGCTCCTCGGCCTCCTCCAACCTGTCACACCTGGAGGAGGACACCTGGATCCTGTGGGGCCGCATCGTCAACGAGTGGGAAGAGTGGAGACGCAAGAAGGACAAACTCCTGAAGGTGGGGATTGTCAAATGTAGCAGTTTTACTAAGAGTGAGTCATTGAATATAATAAAAAAAAATGATTCACAGGAAGTTTAATGGATAACTTTACAAAACAAAACAAACAGGGCACTGTTCACTGCGCCTTTAATTCAGGGGCTGGTTGGCCACATGTATTCACAGACACAGACTTCGTCACTGGTCTGTTTTTAACTGTGTGTATATGTGTGTGTCAGGAACAGTGTTGTCTGAGACCAAAGGGTTTGTTTTTGTTGACGTTGCACAGCAACACAACGGAACAGTTTGGGAAGAAAACCCTAACAATCTGCCTGAGTCTGTTGCCATGTGTTAATATGATAGTTTTAATACGATTACACCAATGCCTTTCAGTTGCAATGCACCACTATGCCTCTTCTCTTCATCCTATTCTCCCCTCCCTTTGTCTTTGTGTCCCTCTGTGTCCTCTGTGACAAAAAGAGAAAACCCAGGGGAAGAGAAGATGGATGAGAGAAGGGACAGCAAAAAATAAGTCGGGGCAAAATGGTAGAGAGCAGACAAACCAAGCAAAATGACACTGGCTGAAAACTCTACAGACACACGCAAAAAAATGACACGCAGCTTTTATAAAACGTGGGGTTAAGAATTATTGTGAAGAGCGATACATCATAATGTACTGAGTGGCTGTAATTATGAAATAGTGCTAAAGGGTGCTTGTAAATATACATTTATTCATTGTTCCATAATTGATTCCTCTTCCTGCTCTTTGCTCTCCAAGAGATGCTTTAAATTGCATCCCTCACTACATAAAGGAGCAAGGTATTAATCATTCGTCCTCTTTAATCTCACACTCTCTCTCTCTCTCTCTCTCTCTCTGCCCTCCAGGAGTTGATCAGGAAGGGCATCCCTCATCATTTCCGGGCCATTGTCTGGCAGCTGCTTGGCAATGCCACTGACATGCCAGTGAAGAACCAGTACTCGGAGCTGCTGAAGATGTCCTCCCCCTGCGAGAAACTCATCCGCAGAGACATTGCCCGCACCTACCCCGAGCACGAGTTCTTCAAAGGCCAGGACAGCCTGGGGCAGGAAGTCCTCTTCAATGTCATGAAGGTGAGCACTGCGGCATTTCACATCACCTCAAGGTCTGAACTTCTCAGTTTGATATTTAGTGTCTGTTAAAAGGTAAGACTTGTGTCTTTTGGAATAAATGTGTCTTCAACTCTAAGTTATGTTTTCTCTGATTTAGTTATTTATGAAGTAATTTAGCATGTGATCACAGTGTGACTTGGTGCTGCTCAAGGCTCAGATCATGTTGATTTAGTGCCAGATCAGATATTTTTCTGCTCCTCTGGTAGAGACGGTGTGATGTTAACACTAACAACCTTGGTATGTCCTGCTGGCAGGTGATAGGGGTTAAACTTGCTGACCATGTAATTGCACTGAGACCTTAATTTCAACCAAAGCTATGTTTACATTCAGTGTGACTCACCAAAATGCATTGTGTGTATCCTTGAGGTCTAACAAACATGTTAAATGCATTTCCTTCCTCATAAAAAAATTGTAAGCTAATTTTTTTTTTTATGTTTTCAATCATGCATTGTTTGCTATCTTGTAGTCTTCTTCTTTACTGCCTTTGATGGCACAGGAATTTATTTTGTGCTGCCTTCATGGTCATGTGCATGCACAATGCAAACAAACACCCCCGCACAAATGCATTTCTCCTTAGGGTAAATTTAATATGTCAATTACTTCTGTGATTAATTGCTTGAAATCCCATCATGTTTTCAGAGCCCAAGGTGACAACTTACTTGTTGTTTGTCCAGATCCCAAAGATATTCAATTTACAATGACATAAAATGGAAGAAGGCTTCACATTTGAGAAATTTGATCCACCATGTGTTAGTTCATCAAAATTATTTATTTCAGCATGACAGGAGAGTAATATGTAGCATTAATGAAAAATAAAGCAATGTGTCGCGTGTCGTTTTTTTCCTGCAAACATTCAGAAAAAGATGAAAGTAACTGGAAAGATCTGAATGACTGTAATCAGTCCAACCTTCCTGATGTGATTTTGTTCCTGAAAGTGAATCTGTTGGGAAACAATGAAATGTGGAAATTTGTTGTTGATCACCATTCAAACGAGCTTATTTGACGACGTCTACACAACAGTCAAGTTTCCCGGTAGCTGAGCTCCTCTGGAAATGAAAGGACCTCTGGTGACTTGTTGATCCTTGCTGATCAGTCTGAATGTTCGGTTGATGTCATCTGTGCTGCTTTATATAAATTCAGAGCATAGAAAACGTATCGTGAGTGTGTGTCTGTGTGTGTTTTTCAGGCATACTCCCTGGTGGATCGAGAGGTGGGCTACTGCCAAGGCAGTGCATTCATAGTTGGCTTGCTGCTTATGCAGGTAATCAAACATATCAGGGAAATGCTCCATAATGAGGATATTTTGCCTAAAGGCTGAGTACATTACTTCACCATCCTCACAATCCGTCCCACTAGATTTCTGTGATTAATACAACTAAAAACTGTTGATTATGTGGTTTTTGAAAAACTGCAAGGCAATTATGGTTGTCCCTGGAGGTTAAGTCAGTGATCAGTGAAATATGAGAGTCATATACAGTTCAACATAAGCAGTGTCTGATTGTCTAACTAATGAGGGAACTTTGCTCACCCATCTCACCTCCTCCCAGATGCCAGAGGAGGAGGCATTTTGTGTTTTCGTGCGTCTGATGCAGGAATACCGTCTGAGGGAGCTGTTCAAGCCCAGCATGGCTGAGCTGGGCCTCTGCATCTACCAGTTTGAATATCTGCTACAGGTAAAGAGGAGCTATGAGTCTGTAAACAAGAGGCTTGTAGTGTGAAACATGTCCACAGAGGGGCAGCAAATCATCAATTGATATCTCCAGTACATCGATTCATATTTGGACATGGCCTTTTGAGTTTACTTTCGTTATTTGAGTGCTCTTTTGTTACCTCAGGAGCAACTTCCGGAGCTGAACGTCCATTTCCGGTCCCAGAGTTTCCACACATCCATGTATGCCTCATCCTGGTTCCTCACCCTTTTCCTCACCTTCCTCCCTCTGCCTGTCGCCACTCGCATCTTTGATATTTTCATGTATGAGGTAGGAAACAGTTTGCGCATGTCTTTTTACTGTGTATACTCTGTCTACTAATCTGTTATTTCAGTTTGCTAAGCACAAATAATGAAATACATGACCTGTCTGCAGGGTCTAGAGATTATCTTCCGTGTGGGCCTGGCCATCCTGCAGTACAACCAGACTGACCTCATTCAGCTGGACATGGAGGGCATGTCGCAGGTAAACAGCCACAGCTTTGTACCATCAAATGAGTTTCATGTACAGATTCAGTCATGAGTCACAGGCTTCACATTTTCTTTTGCATACGAACCCTCTGAACTACAGAATAAAAAAAAATAAAAAAACAAAGCTTCACTCACTTCCAGTGATTTAAAACATAAACCAGGACATATTTGATGGTGCTATGAGATGCTTGTATATCAGTGTTTTATATGTAGTGAAACAGGCATGGTGGTGATTTTGACACTGTTTGTAAAGCTTGTCATCAGTTACATGCATCTTTCATGATCCAGATGCAGTATCTGCATAAACAGTCACAAGGGAGATAATTGTCACTGAAAAAAATGTATTTGTTGCTCCTTAATAAAATCCCAACAAACGGATGAATTACATCTTGTATGATATGTATAATTATTCAATCATCTAATCCTCATCATCTTATCTTATCATCATGGTAATGATAATAATAGACCCCCTTTGTCAGATCCCTGATCAGAAAATACTGGACTACAAATTCAAAAGGATTGCTGTGACACAGACACTCACTTGTGTTAGGTACACCTACAGTAGATAAAACTAATGCATCCAATACAACAGGCCTGCAATAAATCCTCCTTAATGAAGATTATAATGTTTTATTGACTCTGTTTTGGAGCATGTTGGATTTATTTTAATCGTCATTTCATGGAGGCTGTAATTAGTGTTGCTGTAGAACTCTACTGCATTATAGTGAGTTCCTAATATTTTGTCCATCGCATTTATATGAATTAAGGCTCTTAAATCACCTCTCAGTATAGCCCAGCACAGTTCAGCAACTCCACTAATTACAGCCTCCAAAATGACCATTAAAGTAATCCAACATCCTCTTAAACAGATTCATAACAAATGAACATTATGATCTTCATTAAGGAGGATTTATTACAGGCACGTTGTATTAAACTGCATTAGTTTTATCTAGGTGTAGCTAATCAATGTTATTCCAACAGTCCAGAACCTGAAGAAATAGAAATTTGAGCCCTTTTACTGATCGATCAGATTTAGCTGATAATTAATTTTCTGTGCATCATTGCATCGATTAATTGACCAATGATTCAGCTCTAGTATGTAATAAAAAAGATACTGATGAATTGTTTAATATATATATTTATCTATTGCCAGTCCAGTACAAACTGTTGTCAAAGGTGTCTCACTGCATTTTCTGTTACTAGACTTTGGACTTTTCAATTTTCTGGTATTAAAGTCTCAACTCAGTTTATTATTCAGTACTTTATACCTCAAAATAAATATATCAGCAGGCTGAAGTGGTAACAAGTGATATCATGAAGTGTATCAAAGGTTTGAGTTTTTAATTATATTTAAAACAGATGTAGAGTATTGTCTGTTAATCACAGAAAACCAGAACAATCATTGTTTTCCAAAAATGCAGCAGCTGCCGACTTCGCCACGAAGGCAGCGTGGATCCTTTGCTGCTCCTGTTCACTCTTTCAAAAAGTATCTGCCTGCTTCTTCATAAAATATGAATGAGAGTCTTTGTCAGTCTTGAGCTCTCTAATCTTGTGTCTGTCTCCCTCTGGGTCTGGCAGCATTTCCAGAAGGTGATCCCCCACCAGTTTGACAGCTGCCCAGACAAGCTGATCCTCAGGGCCTACCAGGTCAAATACAACCCCAAGAGGATGAAGAAGTAAGAGCACGTGTTACTCAACTAACAACTAGTGCAACTCAGGTTGGCCGGGCCTTATGTGGCCCAGGAGGATTTGTATTTCTGTCTTACTAATGCTGAGGTTTTTACAACGATGCACGCTCATATCCGGTGTTTGATGTGTGCTTGTTTTGTTTTTTTTATAAGTATTGTGATGAGTGGATGGCACACCAGGAAGAGGTGTTTTCCAGTTCTATCCTCTTCTGATTTTAGTTTTTTAAGCATTGATGCACAACAGTAAAAGGAGGAAGCGGTCTTTGTTTGTTTGAATCATTGAATTGAGGTAATGCGTCACAATCTGCTTTTGTTTGTTTTTCCTCAGACTTGAGAAAGAATACACCACGATCAAGAACAAAGAAATGGAGGAGCAAATTGAGATCAAGGTGTGTGTGTGTGTGTGTGTGTGTGTGTGTGTGTGTGTGTGTGTGTGTGTGTGTGTGTGTGTGTGTGTGTGTGTGTGTGTGTGTGTGTGTGCGTGCGCATGTGTGTGCGCACTTAGCAGCTTGTGTTTTAAGCGTTTGTGCATGATGTCAATATTACATTAAAAAGTACAAAAATGAATAGGCAATACACAATGACTCCTCAGCACCTCTCCTCTCTGACTGTGTCTGCTCAGAGATTACGCACAGAAAACAGGCTGCTGAAGCAGAGGATTGAGACGCTGGAGAAGGTAAGAGATGAGCTTTGATTTCAGCTTATCGAGATGCTAATATGAATCCGTTTTATGCAGCATCATTGAGATTAAAAAGCAGAGGACTCTTCCCATTTTGATCAGATACTGCAACATGATAATGCTGCAGGTTTTAATTTGTGAACTCACTTTGTGGTGTTGGTTCTCGTATCGTGAGGAGTTTGGTCGTGTGTGTGTGTGTGTGTGTGTGTGTGTGCGCGCGCGTGCGCGTGCGTGGGTGTGTGGATTAAAGTATAGAATAGTGTGGATGCTTGTGATTGGTCCTATTTGCACGCAAGGTTTTTTTTTTAACCCTCTGAGCCAGTACTCTGCTATTGAGAGAGACTCCCTTTTTTAATCTTCTCCTCCTCTGTGCAAATACTTTTTTCTGAGTGATCTCACTGCTGCCTCTTTTCTCTTCACAATCACTTCCACACTCCTACATTTGTTTCGAATGATTGGTTCCTCAATCTTTTATCCCATTTCTTTCTTTTCCTTAAATTCCTCTTTGGTTTTGTTGTGGTTTATCCTCCCGGGTGTCCCGCTGTCTTTCACTCTCTTCATCTCTTTTTTCATCCTCTTGTTCCTCTCCTCTGTTGCGCTGTAGGAGAGTGCTGCTCTGGCAGACAGACTGATACAGGTAGAGTACTGTAAACCACTTTCCCACTGACCTCACTGTCCTCTGCCCTACTCACACCCCCCTCCTCCTCCTTTTTCTGCTTATCTCCCTCCTCTTACCAGTAGCCAGCCAAAAGTGCATGAGAGAATGTTGTTAATTTTGTATATCTGTTCAGTCGACAAGAACATCCTGTGATCCCTGAATGCATGTACTATTTATCCATGATGGGAATTTTAATATGAGGTTGTACAATCCCTGCATGTGGCATGTAAAGGTTTATTATTACTGCTATTACTATTATACATTTTCATTATAAATACCTGTAGGTTACCAAAATGTCAAAAAAATATCCTGCATATTAGACATTTGGAGAAATATGTTTATTTGCTTTTGTGCAGAGAGTTAGATAAGAAGAAGTACATGTCTGTTTGTTAAATATAAAGCTACCACCAGGAGACGGTTAGCTTAGCTTAGCATAAAGACTGGAAACGTGGAAACTGCAAAGAAATCCACCTACTAGCGTCTGTAAAGCTCAATAATTAACATGTTCTATCTTGTTGTTTAATCTGTACAGAAACTTAAGTGTTTAAGTGTAAAACCTATATTGGTTTTACAGGGGCAGCTATGACTATTTATTTGCTGGCCACAGGCCTTTTACCACTAATTTTTGAAGGATTAAACAAAATATAAGATAGAACCTGCTAATTAATGAGCTTTAAAGGTGCTTGTAGATGGATTTTGTTACTTTCAGACAGATATCAGGTATTAGGCTTCTCAGCTAACTCTCGGCAAGAAACTGAATAAACTTATTTTTTAAATATTAAACCTTTCCTTAAAAAAATCTACCATGTACCATGTAACAAAGTTCCCCTTAAGCATAATGATGTTACGTTCCCTCAGAATCATCCTTCACCCTACATTGGTATAAAGTCTGCATTTTAAAGTTTAAACTCCACAGCTGATCTGGACCCTTGTCCTGCTGCTGTTCCAGGGTCAGGTGACGAGGGCACAGGAAGCAGAGGAGAACTACGTGATCAAGCGGGAGCTGGCGGTGGTGAGGCAGCAGTGCAACACAGCCAGCGAGAGCCTCGAGAAAGCGCAGGACACCATCAGAGAGCTGCAGCAACAGAGGGTAAACACAGGGTACACAATCTGTACCCAAACACTGTGGTAGCACTATGAACGATGTTGAATAGGGGATTTATGCAATAAAATTATCTGTCAAGGCCGAAGCGGTTTATCTGCGTATGGGACAATGTCATCTTGAGTGTGTGTCAATGTCCAGATTTCAGAATCTGGGCTGCTTTTGTGTGCAAAATCATGCTTCCTGATTCAGTTGATACCAGTTTGTCAAAAAGACAAAACTAAAAATGAAAAGTGAAAGTATTTGTTAAAGTAGAAAAATACATGTCAAAAATATATGTCAAAACCCATTTTTCAATCTTACTTTCTCTTACTTAAAGCGCCTGTTGGACTTTTTCGGATGGAATCAGTTGGAAACAGCTAGTCTGGCTCTATCTGAAGGTAGAAATAACCACCTACCAGCAGCTTGAAAACTCACTAATTAACACGTTACATTATCTTGTTTGTTTAATCCATATGAATCATAAAATCACTCATTGTGTTATATTTCATATGGATTAAACAAACCATCTCTTTGTCTCAGGTCAGATTTAGGGCAGCCAGTGTTTGACTTGAATAAACTACTTGCAACACTGATTGTCTTAAGACTTCAGTGGAAATTTCTAAGTTTAAATGTTTGCAACACAAGCCACCAAAACATAACATCTGTTTTGCAACAGGGGAGTTGTGTTGGCCCTGTCAACAACACCAGAAATTTTATGTATTTTTATTTATTTATTTATTTATTTTTGTAATTTACTTTTTATTGGTTTTCTTGACGTTTTAACACACTTTTACGAGGCAGCCCAACAGGCTTAATTCACACAAAACAAAACACACAACAAACCAGAACAGAACCAGGGGAGGTTACATCCTTAAATTAACAAAAGTTATGTCTTTGTACAAAAAAATATCTGCGTCATTGATTGTCCTAGTTTGTTCTGCCCGAGGAAGAAAAATAAAAGCCCTTGGTATATTGAGGTCCTATTCAAAATCAGGCCTTATTGTTAACGACAGCCAAGCAAACCTGTTAAAGAAGTCCATTTGAGTTCTTAGTGTGAATGTGATTCTTTCCATAGTATAGATATTATGCACCAAGTCAACCCATTCATTTACAGTTGGTGTATCCTTCTTAAGCCATTTTCTAGTCAAAGCCTTTTTACCTGCAACCAACAACGCTCTCATCAGATACCTGTCTCTCTTTGTACCTTGAAGACCCTCCAGATCACAAAGATACAATATTTTGAAATCAAAATTAATTTTCAACCTGAAAACTACCTCTAGGATGCCGTGTATATTTCAGAAATTTTATATATTTTTATATAGTTTGAGCATGTTGGACATTATGACATATGGACATATGATCTGTTCAGTTAATATTTCCACAGCAAAGCAATGATAAACTTGAATCACATACAGTGCTTTTACTTGTTTAATTAAGTAAGAGTATTTTAAAAAGTGCTCTATAAATAAAATATTAGTAGGAGTAAGGCAAGACAAGGCAAATTTATTTTATGGCTGTCACAAACCGGGCCGCACAGAGGGTTGTCACAATGGCACATGAGAAATGAGAAAATATTAAATTAACCACAAAATATAAAGTTTTCACAGAGGAAACAAGTTAGTTGTATGGTGATGGATGCAGTTTGTTGTAGATCATTAAATTTCTGTTTTATGAAAAAATGTGTAAAAATGTCAAAATACATATGGACTGACCTTGAAGGTTAAAAACTTACATTTTTGGTTGCTTCTGATATTCAGTGGTTTTCTGTTTTTTTTTGTACTCCTTGGCAGCAACAGCTGTGACTGAAGGCCTTATGTTTTCAGGTTGTCCGTATTTCTGTCTTTCCCATTCTCATGAACGTGATATCACAGTAACGCCGTTCTTCAAATTTGGCTGGAATGGTGAACTGATTACAATTTGGTGGTCAAAAGGTCACTGTGACCTCACAAAAGACTTTTTTGAATCAACACGCTAATTATGACACAATTTCACACAGATGTGTTATAGGATAAAATGATGAAGTGATGACACTTTGTATCGAAATGGTTAAAGGTCAACTTCCCTGTGACATCATAATGTTCTGCGAAAACACTTCTGGCCATTATTCGAGACTGTAACTCAGGAAAGGAAGATTGTGATATATTTCCTGCAGCTCGGCTGGTTGCCAGAGGCATACAACCACAAGCCAGTAATTCTACTTTTTCTTTCACTTTTGATACATAAAGTACCTTTTGATAATAAAATTTTCAAACATTTTCAATGCAGGACTTTTACATATAATGGAGTATTTCTACTTTGAAGTATCATTACTTTTACTACAGTAAAGAATCTGAAAACTCTCCATCACTGGGTTTTGAAACATTCCTGTCTGTCCTGGAAACTGAATAATCTTCTCTGCCTCTACATAATATGTGGTGCTACTATATAATAAGACCATATTGATTTCTAATTTGTAAAGAGCTCACAGGGGCTTCTGTTTTTATACATACAGTACACTCACAATTTGTAATGAATATGCCAACTAAAACTTTGCTGTCCTAGAAAAAATAAACCCTCGTGGTGAGAACCAGTGGTCTTCATAAAGACATTTATAGTTAAAATTCACCTATGCTTATCACACTCTTCTGTGACAATATGACATGTGACAAAATTCATACATTGTATTTCTCTTTTTTAATGTTACGTACATTCAGACAGAATGAAGAACAAGCAAAAGATGTGTTACTTATAAAGAAAAAAAATGCAAGCCTTTTGATTCTTCTGATTTAAGGCACTTTAAGTGTTGCCATTGTGGTACATGATTTTATTCTACCTCAGACTGCCAGCACCCATCACCCAGCAGAGTTCACACAACTCCAGACACTCACAGTTCTCTTTGATAACCAAGACTGAGATGCCCAAAATGACAAATCGAGACTCTTTTACTCACACTATGTACTTGCCCAATTTCAACCTTTTGTATTTTGCCTCGTAGGAAAGTATTTTTCCACTCAGCCGCCTGAGTTTTTTCTGCTGCTCTCATGCCTTTATCTTTGTAGTTGCACTTTGATGTGGTGACTTGAAAATGTACAGTAGCTTTCTATATTCTGACATCAATCTGAGTCAGTGGGGCAAGAGTATCGTTGGTTACCAAATTCATTTTTTTTCATTAGCAATTTTCAAGTTGGGCTACTCTACAGACATGTGCTAACAGCTGGGAACATCAGTCACAGAACAGAAAAATCAACTGACGTTTGACAGCTTCAGAGAAAGTTAAAACCCTTACACAGTGTTCATTCTGTTGCCGTATGCAGACCAGCTGCAGATAATCATGATCGGGGGTTGAAGTGGCATATTGCAATTGATGATCTTGATTTATTTCTTGCAGAAGCTAGGAATAACACAACGACTCTTGGTTGTTTTGTGGAAGCAGCCAAGGAATCAAATGTATAACTGCAAATTTCCTACTGGTTTCATAATATGTTGTTTGTTTGCAGAAAACGTATTGATTATTATTATTGATGACAATGTTAGCTCTCAGAAAAAAAAAAAGACAAACAGCATGCAAGGATTCAGGAGTCCATGACAGTGTCTGAATATTTAATTTGCTGTTAGATTTCTCAGCAGGAGAAAAAGAAAGAGAGAGATATAACACCAATGGCTTGTGGCAGAATTCACACCCAATGAAGTGCTGTGGAAATTCTAGCTGATCTAAACCCCTAGTCATGACAAATGCCATCATCTTGTCTGCATATGACAATAAAACTGACCCAAACAAGGTCTGTTATAGTGACAACTATTCTTCATAGTTAGTACTAGCTGATGTCAAGCCCCACTGACCTGGGATACAGTATACCTGTGTAACACCAGTGATGTTTGTTTCAGTACACGGAGCAGTTTGTGAGCAATCTGCAGACCCAGCTGGAGCAGTCCAGACTGCGAGAGGCTGAACTGCTCGGAGCGCTGAAGGAGATGCAAGACAAGGTTCTGGACCTGGAGAAGGTGGGTGGGCACACAAGACGTACATTTTAGTGTGTGAGAGAAAACACAGTGTGAACAAAGAGCAGAGACAGCAGGCACGTACCTGTGAACGTGGTAAAGATTATTTTACTGTAAGCCAAATAGAAAAAGTGTTAATTTCTGAGGTTTCGCTTTTACTTCTTGAGGTGTTAGGACACAACAGCTCTTCCTCATTTTAATAATGATGGTTTTACTTTAATGTAAAACTGAATGTAAGAAAAGGCAAATATTTCTCAATGCCAATGTTTGTTTGTACAATTTTGGATTTTTTTAATATTCCTGGAGCTTTTCAGTCTCGCTCGCTGCTCCATCAATGGCAATGTCTGTCTGTTGGCGAGCTGTTTAACTACTTTGCTCCAGACTGAAATATCTCCACCATCTCCATGAATCCTACTGACTCTGGTGATCCCCTAACTTTTCCACTAGCTGCATCAGCAGGTTTACATATGTGGCTTTGAGTGAAGTGTTTCCACTACTGTTAAATGAATTGCTATGAAATATTGTATAAACATTAATGTCCCCTTCAGGATGAATTGTAATAACTTTGTTGACCCCTTCACTCTTCCTCTAGTGCCATCATAATGTCAAACTTTTAATTGGTCCCGTACTTAAATCACCAAATACCTGGGAAATTAACATTCCTTAGCAGTATTTGGCGCATGCTAACACACAAGCTAAGGTGATGGAACATAATATTGTTTGGCAGGTATAATACCTCCTTAAAAGTGCACTGTTAAGTTTTCTCATAAACAAACAAAAGTCACTGTATGTTTACATTCTATATTACTTTCCAGAATGCATTGTGTGAATCCTTGAGGTTAGCAAAAACCTCAAGGATTTCCTTTCTGGTACAACAGTGCATTTCCTTTCCCATACAGCAGCCTCACAGAGCCACTAACATGGCTGTGGACTAGTTAGTCTTAGCTAAACTATGATCATGAAAAATATTTTCCATCTAGAGGAGCAGTTGCCTGCCTGATGAGAACAACATGGCGGCTCTGCAGGAGGAGGTGAAGCAGATGAAGCTGAGGGAGCTGGAGACGCTGCGCTCCTTCAGAGAGATGCAGGACACAGTCACTGAGCTCAACCAGCGCTGGCAGGTAACGCACACAAACCTGTGCTGTTTTCTCTGTAAACTACACGTGCATGCATGTTCATGTGTCCCACCTGTACGCCGGCAGGAGAGTTACACCTGTTCACTCTGTTTCTGCAGCATCATATGTCCCGTGGCAGCAGCACTGGTGGTGGGGGTGGCCACTGGAAGGAGTCCCCGAAGAAGAACGCCATGAACGAGCTGCAGGACAAACTGATGACGGTCAGACTGAGGGAGGCCCAGGCCCAGGCTGAGCTCCGAGAGGTCAAACTAAAAGCCCTGCAGCTGGAGAGCCAGGTCTGTCACACTTCACAACTACACACTGTCAGTCAGTCATAGAGGGTATGCAAACAGTCAAGTCCTCTTCTTGCATACTAAGATATATGGTGTAGAAGTCAGTGCTGTGTAATTTGTTTCAAGCATTTTATTAGAACTGTGTTAATCAAAATGATAAAAGCAGATCATCCCTGTGGTGTCAGGATAATGCAGCAAATAATAATAATAAATGACATTATGTTTTTTTCCCTTGTCTGGTGCTACAGTGATTAGTCAAATAATCAATAAGAAAAATGACAGACAGAAAAATAACTGACAACTTTGATAGTAAGTTCAACTGACTGGACTGACTAAGTTGCTGACTGGACAAAATGAGTCATTTCAAGATCTCACCTTGGGCTTTATGAAGTTCTCATTGGCATTTCACAGACAAAGTGGTTCATGAATTAATCAGGAAACTTACCCTCTCACCTTTGACCTTCTTCATTCTAGAACAAGATCCACAGCAAGCTGATTGGTCGCCACGAGCAGGAACGTTCCGCCCTGCAGGACCGGCTCCAGATGTTGGCCAATCAGAACAAAGCTCTCCAGGCCCAACTCAATGAGATGAAAAGGAAGCAGGCCGAGTTCGACTGCAAGGTCTGTATGGAGAGGAGAGAGAGGAGGAAAAGGAGTTGGCAACAGGGGGGAGAGTGGAACATGAGAGAAGGGCTGGTTGATTTAAATATTGATTCATTTGAAACGTAGAGACAGTATGAGACACTAACAGCAAGATGGGGCGGGGGGGGCAGAGGAGGACTAAGATAGTTTATTATCAACATACATCACTGAAATCCAGCATGTCATTGTTCTGTTTGTTCTGCTTGAAATGTCATCATCTTTCTCGTTCTGTCTTCCGACTTCCACGTGTAGAGTAAAGAGGAGGTGATGGCTGTGCGACTGAGGGAAGCAGACAGTATGGCTGCCGTGGCTGAACTCAGGCAGAAGATTGCTGAACTCGAGATACAGGTGTGTGTTTTATGTATGTAGACTAGTCATGCATGGATCACAGTTATATTCCCGCGGTTTGTTTAAAACCAACCTACTTCAGTGTAATATGTCACCATATCATCACACGTAATATCCCACTGAGAAATAATGGTAATGTGTGATCAGGTGTGAGTCTCTAAATCGTGGAAAATAATTAGTTCAGATGTGTGGTGGGTGGATTATTTACGCATACTTGCAGATTCAGATTGACATCAGAGCCGATCAGCGCATCACCATGTAGACGTTTGGATCTGTATATGAAGTGATTGTTTTAACAGTACTGTAACAGTGAAGAGACTCCGACCTTGAACTTGTGTTTGTCAAATGTGTTTTTCAGAAGGAGGAAGGGCTGATCCAGGGCCAGCTGAACCACTCAGACTCCAGACAGTACATCACCCAGCTCCGGGACCAGATCGCTGAGCTCAAGAACGAGGTTGGACACACACACACACACACACACACACACACACACACACACACACACACACACACACACACACACACACACACACACAACTACACTGTTTACAAGATTTCTTCATAAATGTGGACCAATAAACCATTTAACACCCTTTTAGATATGATTGAGACTGTGGTAACAACACTAAGTAGTTTCACAGCGTCCCTTTGGGAATTTCCTTTAATGAATACCCGCAGTGTGTTTTCCATGAGCCTTTTGCTGTTCTTCCTGGAACTGAAAATTGATCAACTAATTAGTCGATATTTTGAAAAACACTTGAAGATAGATAATCAATAGTTGCAGGCTGAATTGCCATTTTGTTTCACTTAATTCATTCGGCCTGACGTGTTGATGTTAGCCAATTTGTTGTTGACGTGGTCTTTTGTTTTGCCCTAACCAATCTGCGGCAAGTGATTTCAATTAAGATTTTTCATGTTACAATACAAACAAAGAGGAGAGTGGCTGCCATACATGAGAACATCTAATGAGTTTGCCCATCATAACATATTGAAATTTCTCCAAGTGCAATATAGCATTGAGCTCAGATAAGCAGGTCTTGAACTGTGGCACAGTATCTGTCTTCCAGAGCCTTAAAATTACTTTCTTTGTTGTCACCATTCCTTACATAATAGTGCTTTGCACAGAGACTCTGATTTAGTAAGGAATGAGAATACCCAGATTTTTGGACATGTCCATAAAAGGTGGGTCAGAGAGCCATCTGCAGATGTGCATCAATCACACAGAGGACATGGCAGGAAGTGCAAGTTTTTGAATAATGAAGCCTATGGGAAATGAGAAACATGCTGCTGGTGTGAACAGCAGGTGGACTGGGCACTATTTCAAACTTGTTCACCAACAGCAACAGGAAAACATCTAAATGACAACACCTTTCTTTGGGAATTCGGCTGTATTAAAATACAGATGTGGAAATGGTTGCTAGGAAGAGTTAACCAAAAGTTTTTCACTTTAATCAAAGAAATATGTCAGTAGAAGGGGGATATAAGAGTTTATGTCTGTGTACAATAACGTTTTCTGTCACTATGAATGTAGTTGTGTAGCAATGTAGGAATATGGCATCTCCTTTCTTAATCCCCCTCACTAAGATGTGATTGGTCAACTGTTTCTCCGGCCAGCTGAAACAGCTGTTACACTAATAGGCACAACCCATTTGGATCCTATCTTCTATTTCTACCCGTAAACAGATGATGTAAAATGTAGTTTAGCCCCTGCAAATATTGTTTGCTTACAGCAGTTACTGATGTTTTAATGTCCATGATTTATTAGTGTCACAATAATATAGCTGACAAACCTGTAGTTAATAATTCTGTTCAGGATATGTTGGTGTTGGTAGATGCTTTGAAATGGTGTCAAATATGTCTATACATATACATACATAGATATTCTGCAGCCTTGGTAACCACCACCACAAAAAATCTTCTCATCTACATGCAGCCTCACTAGAGGCACCACTTCCATCCGAAACACTCACAGTTGTGTCAATGTCTTTCTTGTAATAAGAGACCACTGCTCTTCCCCAGCAACTGTATTCTCATCATTTGGTTCTCAGTGAACTTTAATTCTGAAAGATGAGTGAGTTTCAAAAGAATAAGTGCGTAACTGTTTTTTTCTGTCATAGGTGAACCCACAGCTGTGTGGCTTCTGTACACAGTTGTTCACTCAACTGTGCACAGAACTCGCTGTGGGATTGGAAAAAAAAAAAAGTATACATTGTGTAACTCAAGTTTAGCTGATTTCCAAGTTTGGCAGCTTCTTGTGGTCTGAAAACATTCAATGACCTCTCATGTTTCTGAAGATCTCTCCAACGCAGTTTTGGAGTCACAAAGTTCTCACCCAACATACAACCGAGGGTTTGTTCATTCAGAGAGTGGCAGTGCGTGACTATGAGGGAACTGTTTAAACCTTTAAGTGAGGGGGTGTGATGACACTGCCCTGCTCTTTACCGTTCCTCTCCTCTCTTTTCTTTTCCTCTCCCCACATTTTTTTGCTTTTTATCAAAGCAGTGGGTTTTATAAATGAGACTGAAACTTGCGTGAGTGCGGATGAGGAAGCAATGAACCATTTAGAAAAATCTCAGTATAGTGCTCTAAGCAATCACCTAATGATTATGAGATGTTTTGACAGTCCTGATACATAATGATAGATTCTATAGGAACTAGCTGGGATGATTTTACACCCACATTTATACTGCAGGTTATTTATTGTGATTCAGCTTGACATTAATTTAGTAACTTGCATTTAGCATTTTGACAGTTCTCTGATATTTTGATATTAAATATTAGTATAATTGCAAAAAACAAAAAAGAGGAAATGACCCAAAAAAAGTTTGGCCTCTGTTCTTTAATTTGCTGTAGCTTGAAGAGCAGTCAGATACAGTCAAAACATTTCCAATGGTTAACCACTGGTTTCCCCCTCCCCCCACCCTGCAGCTCGTCTGAGTGTATCATAGGGGGAAAACAAAAACCTCTGAGATTTGTCATGAGTCACTGTGGGACATGCAAGACTAACACGTGAAAAGCATGCATGCGTAAGAACAGAGCAGCCACCGTAACCTGAAAGCTGGACATGAGAAACATGCAAACACACACACACATACACACATCTTTTATCTATCTATCTAGTTCAGTTTTGTTTTTTACTTATTTGCCCATCTGACATCACAGTCAGGTGAGAAACCTCCAGTGCTCTGATTTAGCTTTGTAGGCCCTACCGCTGAAATTGTACAACCTCTAAATGGTAGCTAGGATACAGGTCAGTGGGTTTCACAGTTTTTTTTTGTCTTCTACGCACCCAACAGCCTGTCAAAAAGAAAATTCCCAGCACCTGACATTTAATGCTTTTGCAAAAGCTCACAAACAGATTAACACGATTTATTTAGTTTCTCATTATTTTTAATATTGAAAATAATTTATAAAACCGAATCCTTGAATTCTCACAACTCACAGTTGATATTTCGAAACTCACTTGTGAACTTCAAAACAGCAATACAGAGATGTGTGGAGCTGGGCTGTACTTTTTACCTTACCTCACATTCTGCATAGATTTGCGTATGTACTATTGAGTTTCTATGGAAACAAGGCATCATCATCATACCTGCAGATGTTTCGATGGAAATGAAAACCAAGATTACAAAACTTAAAGATTATTTTTGTGTTTTCGTTACTTGAAATATTATCTTTGCCTTCTTGTTATGCCTCAGCCAATGACAGCCAGGGTTGGGTTTTCTGTCTGTACATCCGTCCCATTCTGATGAATGTGATATCTCAGTAACATCTTCACTCAAGGACGAAAGGATCAGATTTTGGTTGTCAAAGGTCAAGGTCACTTTGACCTCACACCTCTAGTTGTCTAAAAATGATTAAATATGCATTCAGTAGAGGAGCCACACTGTGGCTGACGTGTCTTCATTGCAGTGAACATGGGTGCTGTATTTTATTTTGAGTCAATCCCACATACACCATCTTGCTGTCAAACACCCACTAGAGCACCAACTTTGTATCAGTCCAGTGTTGAAACTAGTCCCCAGCAGTCACAATTGTCTCCTGTTTGAGTAACATTTACTAAAAACTATAGTGCCCCACTGTTTTTCTGAAAAAGGGTCACCTTTTTAGAAAATGAAGCTCTATATTGGCGAACCGTTTTGAAAGATTTGCATCTTCAGCTGGCATGAGGAAAGGAAGAAGAAAGTATTGAGTGACAGACTAACACAGTGTTTGTTTGGTCTTTTTGATTTTTTTTTTTTTGACACAAAAAATACACAATAATGTCAGCCTTCAAAATCCGAGCCTTGCTTCCTTTTGAGCAGGATGAAATATAGACAAAACCTACCTGTAGGATCCATCAAATTAAAACCGTCTTCTCTGTATTCAGATCAGGCAGTTGCGAGGGCAGAAGGCAACCCCCAGCTCCAGGGTCAACAGTGGAGGCGTAAGTACCAACTACCAGGACCTCTGCCTGGCCAGCCCCGCCTCCGCTGAGGGAGACTACCTGAGTTCAGACGAGGACCTTCTCCCCAGCCCGCTGCCTCCCAATGCCCTCTACCCTCCCCTGTCCGGTCCGTGTCACCCATCTGCTCGCCTAGATAGCGAGGGCAGCACAGACAGCGAGGCGGAGGAGCGCATGCGGACACACCCGGACCCACAGCAGCTGTACGGCAGCATGGTGTGCGCAGAGGGTCTGGATAACTGAGACCTGGAGGGGGTGTGAAGAGTCCATTGGATTTCTTTGACCTAAAGAGACGCTGGAGCTCTACAGGACAGGACTGCTACTGTAAACTGGGACTGCATTATCCAATCCAGTCCTCCTCCTCCTCGGCTTTTCCAGTGTTTACCTTTTACTTGATGCAGACATAATGGCATTGATCGGAACTCTTTTGGTCATCACTATGTGTAGTCTCCGCCCCTGTTAATGCCTCCACCGCCTTGTTCCCCACACTGTCCATTCCCTGTCAAAGAGGAAATATAAAGCCTCTCTCCTTGTTCCCACGTGTAACTGCGCCAGAGACTGTCCGTCAAAATACATATCCATCCAAACACAAACATAAGACACACAAACAAACTGAGTCTGGACCATAAAGACTGTTGCTGCTCGCTGCTTGAGATCAACCATGGGACCTGAATCCGTGACCGTGACGAGGAGTGAAACATGGGTAGACAGATAAGAACACCTCCCTCTCCCTGTAAACTGAAGAATAGACACTTGACATACAGTATGCTCTGTCTACCCTTATATAACTCTCCTCCCTGATTGGTTCAGAGTTAAATACATCTTTATCCTCTCTTTTCCCTTTTTATGGCTTTCTTTAAGAAGACACACATCCATCGTCACTGCCTTCAGAAACAAACTTCTATCAGCCATCCATTCACAAAAAAAAAAAAAAAACTCAAAATGATGATGAGTAGGAGAAGGAAAGGTACAGTGTAGGAACATGTACACATCAAACTATTTGTTTATCACAAGGTGGCATTCATGAGTGATTCATGAACACTTTAACATACTAAATATGTGTGTTGTCTGTGTCTGTGGTTTGCAGATAACAATTCAACAGCTCATGTCAAAACATATTCACCATAACCCACAAAAAATGAAGGAAGATACTCAATGTTGCCAAATGTTTTGTTTTTAACTTATTTATATGTTGTAATTTATTTTGATATTTTTTTTATTTTTTATATATCTATATGAAACTATAGGAGCGTAGAGATACTGACAGAGGCCAAACTTTCTACAGCGTCCTTTGTGCCAACAAGTCGTCTGTTACAGGTTTACTGTGACACTTGAGTGTTTCAGAGACGGAAAATGTGCTGCTATGATTTAGAATTTTACTTCTTCCATTTTGTTCTTTCTGTTGTTTTTTCTTTTAATCTTTGTGAACAGTTTAAACGTGATTTTCCTCCCTGGAGCTCTTCAAAATGTATTTATGATGGGAACCATGTGGGGTCCTTCAAAACCAAACACTATCATTGTCTATGTGTGAGTTAAAGTTTGACATTTTGGGAACTATATTTACTGCATTATATTGCTGTCTGCCTGAGAGTTAAATGATCAGCTGGGCTATTTCTTTTATACTGGTGACTTCCTGCACACAGTCAAGAAAAAGTCCAGCACCCCACATTAGACCCCAACTTGTTTTTACACTTAATTTATTTATTTTTTTGATGAACTGTGGCCACAAGTAATATAGTGGTAGATGCTAAAACATAGAGTAACACTGGCACAAGTAAAGAAAAATGTCTCAGTAATGTCAGTTACATAACAACATCTAGCTAACATTATCCAACATAAGCTACTGGTCAAACCAGACCAAGTGAGGCTGAAACAGCTAGTTAAACCCCAGAGAGTAATGAATAGAGCAAGGGTGCTTTTTATTGCTTATTAATTTAGCCTTAGAGGTGCTGGTAGGCAGATTTTTTTAACCTTTGGACAGAGCAGTTTCCAGTCTTTATGCTAAGCTAAGCTAACCATCTCCCTGCTGGAGCTTCACAAGTAACAGACACACATGAGAGTGGTATCAACCCTTTCATCTAAGTGAATAATCTTATTTCCCAAAATGTCAGACTGTTCCTTTTAATTGTCAGTGTCCCATACAAGCAAAAGGAAAAATCCAGGTAACAGTGCTGATCTGGAGTCGCCCAGTTCATGTGCACAGATCACTTTCTGACAACTAAAACTGCAGCATGTGGGCCAATGAAAGTGGAGGGAGCACTTCATATCGTAAGGACGCTGACAAAAAGGCTGTCATCATGACTGGAGGGCGTGTGGGTGGAAAATATTTTACATATCAAACATTAATATATTCTGTGTAGAAAAAGGGTGTAAAATGTATGGAGAGTATGAAATATACAGAGTGACAGGAACAAACTTGTATAGATAAGATTTAAAGCTGTATCACTGTCAGTCAAAATACACTGAAGATGGTGAGAAGATATTTATCAGACAGGGTGTCATATGTAGAGCAATGATCTCTGCTTTTTGCACTACAGAGAGAGAAACTCTCTGCTCATGACATTAAGCAGTGAGAGATGGTGTGGATTAATGGATTCATTGTGGGATCATTCCTTATTATATTCAGCTCTTCGGAGGGACCTTGATGCGATCTAAGTACTTCACTCCAAGATTAACGTCTTGACTTTCTATAGTGCTATAGTCTATAGTATCATTATTCCTCGGACTGATGTTGGAAGTTTCTGTAAATGCTCTAAAGGCCAACTTCACAATTCTGGCATTGTTTTTGCAATGGAAATGAAAGAATGGTAAAGCAGAGCATTATTTTCATTGTGTCAGAAATAAGGAAATTGGATCTTCCAATAAATGGCCATCCAAAAACTAAAGAGGATGTTGGTTTGCCCGCCAGACTGTTGCAAATAACAGCTTTTTAGTGGTCATTGGTGGGTGTAGCAACTGAAATCTTAACACTGGAATCAGTGTTTTGATATCATCAGACCATATCAGTGTTGTACAAACGGTTTCAATTCAGTTCCTTCTGGTTCTTAGTATATACAGAATGTAGACTGGCGTCAGCTCTGTTCAGCATGAGATTTAAGCCCTTAAATCCATTTACTTTGGGTTGTAACTGGCTGAACTGGTCACTTAAAGTTACAATCCTTCAGACTTTATTATATCAAACCCAATTTTTCACAACAGTCAACAACAGCCAGGTTTCCATCCAAATGTGGCACAGATTTTAACCAAATCATCAATCATCAAAAGAGAACACAAATGAATTATTATTATTTCAACTAAAACTGTGAAAACAATGTAGAAAATATAATGGAAATAAGGAATTTACCTTTGTTTCATTTTTTAATATGAGGAACGTTACAGAGTCCTCATATTTTTGACTTTCACTGTTCTGCCATAGTTGAATGGCACCTAACTGGAGAGTAACAGCACTAAATTGCTGCTCTTCTGATTATTTTCTGGAAATTCTGTTAAAATTTCTACCACATTTGGATTGAAACCTGGCAATTGTTGACTGTTTTCTTTACTCTTCTGGGTTAAAATATGGAGATGATAAATCATCTCATCATGTGTTTGGCTGCACTGTAAACATCTGCACAAATCGCTCCTCTTCTCTTGCCTTTCTGACAGGTTAACCCTTCAAAGCATATTTCAAATTTAACTCTGGGCCCTGCGTTATTAAAACGTGTTACCATCAGTAACTACAGGTTTTGCCAAATCTACTATGACTAAAATCTAGAGGAATATAATTAAAATATTTTATTTTGGATTTCAGTCAAAAACTACATAAACTGTTTGTAGGACTGAGTTTCCTTCTTGAAAAATTAAAACTAATCTGAACCCAGATCAGTGCTTAGTGTCCTTAAACACATAAACACATTTGCACACTGCTGTTCAGTGATGGTGCTCTGTTCTCACCACTGTCTAAATACCACTCTATCTACTGTGATGAAACATTTTGATATGTTTGTAAATTACTTTTGAATATGGTACTAGCTGTCATCCTTGATATTATTTTTATAATTGCCATTAGTATTTCATTTTCTCCTGCTAACAGCATTACATGAGATGATAATGATTAAACATCATAATGTGCCATAAAAGTAGGTAGATTTACAAACTATGCTCAATGACTTCATGTGTGTTTAACAAGGGTTTCATCAACAAGTCAGCCACTACAGCCCTTCATTAAACAGCCATGTAATATAAAGTTGATTTTGCGTGGATTGTAAAACGATCACACTGTGTTGCTCCAGATGTATCGTGTTGAACCTGGAACGCCCACCACATGTTTTCCCTGATTTAAAGTGGGAAATGCAACAACACAGAGCTACATGATGAGAGTTTCTCCTTACAGACAGTCCTGATCCTGGTTAGTCTGGTGTAGGATTTCTCAGATTTATGTGCTGTATGTGACAGCTGTTTGATATCCACAGCATCATACCCAAGAACCTTGTCCACCCTCTCTCTTTCTCTCTTGCAGTTCAACTGATGTTGTTGTCAAATATATTAAATGACAGTAAAGATTATATAAATTCCAGTATGATGGGGAAAAAATACATTTCAGTGTTCTGTATCCTATGAATGATACAAAATAAACTTTGACATTGCACCTTTGCAAAGGCCTGATTTTGTTGCTGTTGTTTATTACTGGGTGATCATATTTACTCAAAGCTTTTAAGATGCAAACTTTTATACATTTTATCGATCTTGATTTTCTTCATTTCAGGTGCAGGTTCCACCACACTAATTGTTTTTTTACGAAGAGATTAGATGTTATTGTATATTTAGACACAGTAACTGCCAGGTGTACCTGTTGCAAGACTAACTGAACTAACAGACAAAGCTAACATTAGCTTGCTAATACATGACTTGTTTAGATTGAATAGTGAAGGAGGCAACATAAACTATGCTGTATTTGTCTGTTTAACAGTCATGTAAAATAATGTTTAAAAATGTATAATTACCTCCACCAAGGAGGTTATGTTTTCACCCGTGTCTGTTTGTTTGTTTGTTTGTCAGCAGGAAAAAGTACTGAGCTGATTTGCACCAAACTTGATGGAAGAATGGGACATGGACCAGGGAAGAAAAATTATTTTGGTTTTCCTTAACATTGTGAGATTTTCCAACATTTTCATCAATATCTCAGGAAGTAATGTTTGGATCTTGATATAAAAAGATCTATGACTTTGTATAGTTGGGTTTCAGTATCAATAACTAGCTAAATAGTATTGGTTAGATCAGTATAATCAAATATTTGCGACTCAACTGCACAAATACCACTAACTCTAAAACGTATACTTCTCAACATTTAAAAAGGATTATTTTTGGCACTTATGTGACAATTTGTGATGGTGCACTGACCTGTAGTTTATGCTAGAAAATCACTGGCTTGAAACTAGCTAGCAATTGGACTTTATACACAAGCATAGGAATGGAGTTGTGAGTAGCTGGTACAACCAAGTTCAGGAGAGCACAGTTTCGTCAAATACTGACACCCTAGGATGGATTTTGGGTTGGACAAAAATAAAAGTCAATATATTATTATTATTTGTTTTCAGATTAACATGAAGTGCCTGAATTCATCCACTCTCTTGACGTCTTCCCTTTGGAGCGTTAAAACATTTAAAACAGACTTTTGTGCTGAGACGGTTTTAAAATGAATCAACGTTTATTTCTTGATGCAACAGCCAATGTTAGGTCTTCCACTCCATCAAACTTTGACAATGTTATGTCTTCACATGAAGATTTCTTTGTTGTTACACAAGTTCAACAAAACAATATTCAATATTTCTCTAAATGCCAACAAATCTGACGAAAAGCTACAAAGCAACAATGCATTAGCCAGTCTCACAGACATCAATTTTACATCTAAGAGGAAGGAAGT